CCGCCGCCACCCGACACAGACAATCAGTAAGGTTTGCCACGTGAACAAAACGTAGCCAATTCGTCACTAGTACAGCAAAACCGGTGTGTTGGAGAGCCAGGCCACAACATTTACAATCTGAGTACGACGTTTCGCCAGTAATTACAACCAGCTTCATCAGGCGACAGCCAGATTTGTGTTCTGTTTACGTGACAACCCTTACTGGTTGGCTGTGTCGGGTGGTGGCGAGTTTTAACGACACATTTAAACATTTACGCGATCTAACCCCAAAAAAACCTCTATCATGGATGATATTGGTCGTGGAAGCCTGCTGCGTGTTAAACTGAAAACACCACCCCACCATCATTATCATCGCGCTGCTGTCAAACCGCAGTGGTTTCAAATGGTGTGGCGGCTCTCGAACACTGCCATAGCCGTCAACCCATTGCGCTTTTACCAGCCCCCTCTTCTTGTACGGGGAAATTGAGATTTCAGCTCCGCACGGCGTACAGCCGTTTCAATTGCGAGCAACAAAAATGTTGTGTTGTCTATTTGTTTGTGTTTCCCCCTTGCGATGATGGCACTTTGTAGGATGAACGTTGAGATTTTATAAGGGCACGGGGTTGACCAATGAGGTCTGAATTGGTTTGTTATAAAGTAGGGCACTGATAAGGGGTTGACAGGTATGTAGTGTATAGTAGTGTAGTGTATAGTAGTGTAGTGTATAGTGTAGTGTATAGTAGTGTAGTGTATAGTAGTGTAGTGTATAGTAGTGTAGTGTATAGTAGTGTAATGTATACTAGTGTAGTGTATAGTAGTGTAGCGTATAGTAGTGTATAGTAGTGTAGTGTATAGTAGTGTAGTGTATAGTAGTGTAGTGTATAGTAGTGTAGTGTATACTAGTGTAGTGTATAGTAGTGTAGTGTATAGTAGTGTAATGTATACTAGTGTAGTGTATAGTAGTGTAGTGTATAGTAGTAGTGTATAGTAGTGTAGTGTATACTAGTGTAGTGTATAGTTGTGTAGTGTATAGTAGTGTATAGTAGTGTAGTGTATACTAGTGTAGTGTATAGTAGTGTAGTGTATAGTAGTGTATAGTAGTGTAGTGTATACTAGTGTAGTGTATAGTTGTGTAGTGTATAGTAGTATATAGTAGTGTATACTAGTGTAGTGTATAGTTGTGTAGTGTACAGTAGTAGTGTAATGTATACTAGTGTAGTGTATAGTAGTGTATAGTAGTGTAGTGTATACTAGTGTAGTGTATAGTTGTGTAGTGTATAGTAGTATATAGTAGTGTAGTGTATACTAGTGTAGTGTATAGTTGTGTAGTGTACAGTAGTAGTGTATAGTAGCATAGTTGTCAACCCATTCGGTTTACCCCGTATTCGTGTACAGAGAAATTGAGTTTTCAGGTCCATACAGAGTACAGCTGTTTGTAGGATGAACGTTGAGATGTATAAGGGCACGGGGTTGACCAATAAGGTCTGAATTGGTCAGTAATAAGGTAGGGCACTGGTAAGGGGTTGAAAGCTATGCACTGATGATGTCTTATCGGCGAAAGTGCCACCCCCCCCCACCGCCTCTGAACTGTATGGAAGAGTCCCGGGCTGGGGTGAAGCCACCTGCACGGTCAATGGACGCAAGCAGCAGCCGAGACGGTGGCACCACCACCCCCGACGGTAGCAGGCGACAGCCAACAAGCTGACCCATCGTCTATTGTTGGTTTGTTTAATCATTTTTCTGCTATATTTACCCAAGAATGTCAGTGTGTAACGCGCGTGACGTCACTCCACGTCGACCAGCCCCCCTTAATTAATAATCATGAACAGGTTACGTCCTCCACATGGACCAGCCCTCTCATTAATAATCGTGATGTTCATTCTAAATGCGGAGGGGAAAACCGGAGGACCCGGAGAAAAATCGACGCAACCACAGGGATATACAGCAGGCATCAGGGTCAGAATAGAACCCACGACCTCCTGAATACCAGGCGAGGTAGTTAACATCTCACCACGGAGAGGCATGCAAACTCCACATAGAATGAGGAAAAAAAATTTGATCCCCTGCTGATTTTGTACGTTTGCCCACTGACAAAGAAATGATCAGTCTATAATTTTAATGGTAGGTTTATTTGAACAGTGAGAGACAGAATAACAACAACAAAATACAGAAAAACGCATGTCAAAAATGTTATAAATTGATTTGCATTTTAATGAGGGAAATAAGTATTTGACCCCCTCTCAATCAGAAAGATGTCTGGCTCCCAGGTGTCTTTTATACAGGTAACGAGCTGAGATTAGGAGCACACTCTAAAAGGGAGTGCTCCTAATCTCAGCTTGTTACCTGTATAAAAGACACCTGCCCACAGAGCTCTCCAAGGATGTCAGGGACAAGATTGTAGACCTACACAAGGCTGGAATGGGCTACAAGACCATTGCCAAGCAGCTTGGTGAGAAAGTGACAACAGTTGGTGCAATATTCGCAAATGGAGGAAACACAAAATAACTGTCAATCTCCCTCGGCCTGGGGCTCCATGCAAGATCTCACCTCGTGGAGTTGCAATGATCATGAGAACGGTGAGGAATCAGCCCAGAATTACACGGGAGGATCTTGTCAATGATCTCAAGGCAGCTGGGACCATAGTCACCAAGAAAACAATTGGTAACACATATACATGCCCGTCTGAAGTTTGCTAAAGAACATCTGAATGATTCAGAGGACAATTGGGTGAAAGTGCTGTGGTCAGATGACACCAAAATGGAGCTCTATGGCATCAACTCAACTCACCGTGTTTGGAGGAGGAGGAATGCTGCCTATGACCCCAAGAACACCATCCCCACCGTCAAACATGGAGGTGGAAACATTATGCTTTGGGGGTGTTTTCTGCTAAGGGGACAGGACAACTTCACCGCATCAAAGGGACGATGGACGGGGCCATGTACCGTCAAATCTTGGGTGAGAACCTCCTTCCCTCAGCCAGGGCATTGAAAATGGGTCGTGGATGGGTATTCCAGCATGACAATGACCCAAAACACACGGCCAAGGCAACAAAGGAGTGGCTCAAGAAGAAGCACATTAAGGTCTTGGAGTGGCCTAGCCAGTCTCCAGACCTTAATCCCATAGAAAATCTATGGAGGGAGCTGAAGGTTCGAGTTGCCAAAAGTCAGCCTCGAAACCTTAATGCCTTGGAGAAGATCTGCAAAGAGGAGTGGGACAAAATCCCTCCTGAGATGTGTGCAAACCTGGTGGCCAACTACAAGAAACGTCTGACCTCTGTGATTGCCAACAAGGGTTTTGCTACCAAGTACTAAGTCATGTATTGCAGAGGGGTCAAATACTTACTCCCTTTAAGAGTGTGCTCCTAATCTCAGCTCGTTACCTGTATAAAAGATACCTGGGAGGCAGAAATCTTTCTGATTGAGAGGGGGTCAAATGCTTATTTCCACAAGGCTGGAATGGGCTACAAGACCATTGCCAAGCAGCTTGGTGAGAAAGTGACAACAGTTGGTGCAATATTCGCAAATGGAGGAAACACAAAATAACTGTCAATCTCCCTCGGCCTGGGGCTCCATGCAAGATCTCACCTCGTGGAGTTGCAATGATCATGAGAACGGTGAGGAATCAGCCCAGAATTACACGGGAGGATCTTGTCAATGATCTCAAGGCAGCTGGGACCATAGTCACCAAGAAAACAATTGGTAACACATATACATGCCCGTCTGAAGTTTGCTAAAGAACATCTGAATGATTCAGAGGACAATTGGGTGAAAGTGCTGTGGTCAGATGACACCAAAATGGAGCTCTATGGCATCAACTCAACTCACCGTGTTTGGAGGAGGAGGAATGCTGCCTATGACCCCAAGAACACCATCCCCACCGTCAAACATGGAGGTGGAAACATTATGCTTTGGGGGTGTTTTCTGCTAAGGGGACAGGACAACTTCACCGCATCAAAGGGACGATGGACGGGGCCATGTACCGTCAAATCTTGGGTGAGAACCTCCTTCCCTCAGCCAGGGCATTGAAAATGGGTCGTGGATGGGTATTCCAGCATGACAATGACCCAAAACACACGGCCAAGGCAACAAAGGAGTGGCTCAAGAAGAAGCACATTAAGGTCTTGGAGTGGCCTAGCCAGTCTCCAGACCTTAATCCCATAGAAAATCTATGGAGGGAGCTGAAGGTTCGAGTTGCCAAAAGTCAGCCTCGAAACCTTAATGCCTTGGAGAAGATCTGCAAAGAGGAGTGGGACAAAATCCCTCCTGAGATGTGTGCAAACCTGGTGGCCAACTACAAGAAACGTCTGACCTCTGTGATTGCCAACAAGGGTTTTGCTACCAAGTACTAAGTCATGTATTGCAGAGGGGTCAAATACTTACTCCCTTTAAGAGTGTGCTCCTAATCTCAGCTCGTTACCTGTATAAAAGATACCTGGGAGGCAGAAATCTTTCTGATTGAGAGGGGGTCAAATGCTTATTTCCCTCAAAATGCAAATCAATGTATAACATTTTTGACATGCGTTTCTCTGGATTATTTTGTTGTTATTCTGTCTTTCACTGTTCAAATAAACCTACCATTAAAATTATAGACTGATCATTTCTATGTCAGTGGGCAAACGTACAAAATCGGCAGGGGATCAAATATTTTTTTCCCTCACTGTATACAGCAGGCGTCAGGGTCAGGATCGAACCCACGACCTCCTGTATACCTGGCGAGGAAGTTCCGGGCATTCGTTGAAATGTTGATTTCACGTAAATCTCTCCGAGATTATCGGCAGGCCCACTTGTGGAGGGGTAAAGTGTGGGTACTTCCCTGAGAGGGAGATTCCCTGCGTGGAGGAGGAGGAGGCGGGAAGGCCCCCTGCTCTGCGTGGAGGAGCAGGGAGACCCCTGGGGTGGAGGAGGAGGTGGAGGAGGAGTGGAGGAGGAGGGAGACCCCTTGGATGGAGGAATTTCCTGGTGCAGAGCTACCATCATCTGCAAATTACAAGAGGCTCCAGAAAGTAAGACGCACTCCAAACTTTGTGGCGGATTTTTATTCATTTATTTAAAACCCCGTTTTCATAATCGTGAGAATACGGCACTGCAACGGAGAGGCGTCTTCCGAGAAGATGGTTACGGACACAGTGCTTTAAAACGAGGATGAGATGTGTTTCGGGAAGACGATTCCGAACAGCGAGACGAGACGCAGAGTCTTTCCCGAAGACACGGAGCGTTCTCCGCAATATCGGACGCAGCCACCCCAAACTTTAGCTTTACGATTCTGGGATGCTTAAAAAATACCACGCCGTACGAACCGGAGAATACGTGAAGTCGCCCGAAAACTCATTTCCTTCCTGTGTTAGTTTGTTGTCCTTGCACCGCACCTCCGATTAGCGCGGTTGGCTACGTACGGTGCGAAAGAAGTCCAAAAGACATACATTCAGGAAACATCTCGAGTGATATTTTCCCATCGCTTGCAAAGTGAACCGAGCGCGAGCGTAAATATCCACGTGGCGCTCGCACTCGGCGACTTTGCCAACGCGTCCTCCTAAAAACTTCACTTGCGCGATGTTGTGGGACCGGCCAAAGGGTGAACGAAGGTCAAAGGAACGTTGACAGATCGATGGCGTTGAGGAAGTCTTCTCGCTCGTCGTACTCAAGCATGACGGGCGGAGCCGCATCATCATCATCATCGTCTTCGTCGTCGTCGTCGTCGTCGTCATCATCATCTCGGGGCGGCTCGCCGTCGCCCCTCGTCATCACGTACACGTGGTAGTGGAAGGCCTCGCCGTACGTGCGGTGCCGCACGCGCCAGCCGTAGCGGCGCCGCGCGTACAGCGGCGAGCGCACGTGCGGGTGGGCGAACGTCACCGACACGAAGTGGCCGCCCGGGCGCAGGACGCGCGACACCTGTGGGGCGAGGGGGCACGGGGGATGAGGTACGGGACATGGGGGGGGGGGACAGAGTGAGTGATACATGGGCGACGCGGATGTGTCTGTATGTTGAACTTCGTTCGCACCACCGTACGTAGCCAACCGTGCTAATCGGAGGTACGAGGAACAACAACAAACTCAACACAAACATCTGTTCTAAAGATATTTATTTTAAATCTTGATTAGTTAAAAGTGCATAGCTCCAGTGGCTTCCTAATAACGAGGCACAGCAGGGTGAGTGACGCGTGGTGACACAGCAGGGTTAGTGACGCGTGGGGACACAGCAGAGTGACACGTGGGGAGACAGCAGAGTGACACGTGGGGAGACAGCAGAGTGAGTGACGCGTGGTGACACAGCAGGGTGAGTGACGCGTGGTGACACAGCAGGGTGACACGTGGTGACACAACAGAGTGAGTGTCACGTGGTGACACAGCAGCGTGAGTGTCACGTGGTGACACAGCAGGGTGAGTGTCACGTGGTGACACAGCAGGGTGAGTGACGTGTGGTGACACAACAGAGTGAGTGTCACGTGGTGACACAGCAGGGTGAGTGTCACGTGGTGACACAGCAGGGTGAGTGTCACGTGGTGACACAGCAGGGTGAGTGACGCGTGGTGACACAGCAGGGTGACACGTGGTGACACAACAGAGTGAGTGGCACGTGGTGACACAGCAGAGTGAGTGTCACGTGGTGACATAGCAGGGTGAGTGTCACGTGGTGACACAGCAGGGTGAGTGTCACGTGGGGACACAGCAGGGTGAGTGACACGTGGGGACACAGCAGGGTGAGTGTCACGTGGTGACACAGCAGAGTGAGTGACGCTTGGGGAGACAGCAGGGTGAGTGTCACGTGGTGACACAGCAGGGTGAGTGTCACGTGGTGACACAGCAGGGTGAGTGTCACGTGGGGACACAGCAGGGTGAGTGTCACGTGGTGACACAGCAGGGTGAGTGTCACGTGGTGACACAGCAGGGTGAGTGACGCGTGGGGACACAGCAGGGTGAGTGTCACGTGGTGACACAGCAGGGTGAGTGTCACGTGGTGACACAGCAGGGTGAGTGATGCGTGGGGACACAGCAGAGTGAGTGTCACGTGGGGACACAGCAGGGTGAGTGTCACGTGGTGACACAACAGAGTGAGTGACGCGTGGTGACACAGCAGGGTGAGTGTTACGTGGTGACACAGCAGGGTGAGTGTCACGTGGGGACACAGCGGGGAGAAGTGATATGCGTCTGCCTGATTTCTCACTGCTGCTGTTTTAATGTGGGAAGTAAAAACCCGACACGGATGAGATGAGATGTGTTGTTGTTGTCGTGGAAATCGTGAGCGCGTTGGGGCCGAGAAGTGAACACTCCGCACGCGAGAACCGGACTCGAACCGAGGCCCTCAGTGGCCCCCGGGCTCAGTGCCTGACATGGTCCTCGTGAATCCCTCCCCGGCTTCGGGCAAGAAGGTCATGTCACGGTGACTGGATTGTTTTGACAGATGCAACGGGGATGCTGGTGGGCGCCAAATATCACGACAGAGACTGCCCGCACAGCCTTAAACAGGATGTTTGGGGCAAGTGATGTTAGCGAACAGTGCCTATGATAGCCGGCACGGAACACGAGTGGGTGGGTGGGTGGCCAGCACCACGCCCGTGTCTACCCGGTGCCGGTCTTTGTACGCTGTACGAGGTAATCTTTTTTTAAGGCTGAGTCGACCTAGGGGATGCCCAGGACCGGTGTAGATATTCGTCACCGACGTTGTCTGTGAGCGTAAATCGAACAGTAAGATAACCGCTACACTACCGCTCCCCGCATAAACAAACATCCCCCTGATAGCTTCAACATACTTCAGGGGCAAGTGCTGTTCGCGAGCACCTACAGTGAGGGAAAAAAGTATTTGATCCCCTGCTGATTTTGTACGTTTGCCCACTGACAAAGAAATGATCAGTCTATAATTTTAATGGTAGGTTTATTTGAACAGTGAGAGACAGAATAACAACAAAAAAATCCAGAAAAACGCATGTCAAAAATGTTATAAATTGATTTGCATTTTAATGAGGGAAATAAGTATTTGACCCGCTCTCAATCATAAAGATTTCTGGCTCCCAGGTGTCTTTTATCCAGTTAACGAGCTGAGATTAGGAGCACACTCTTAAAGGGAGTGCTCCTAATCTCAGCTTGTTACCTGTATAAAAGACACCTGCCCACAGAAGCAATCAATCAATCAGATTCCAAACTTCGATTTAAAGCTTTCGTGACTGCAATGATTCATCTTCTTTGGTTCTTTCGGTAAAGTCACGTAGAATGAGAATAAAATAATAAATTGATAAAATAAAATAACACAATAATATTCTCACGACGTTTCGGCCACAACACAAGCGGCCTTCATCAGGTGAAGGGGCGAGACTGTCTGGTAGGACAGCGCTGGAGTGTCCTACCAGACAGTCTCGCCCCTTCACCTGATGAAGGCCGCTTGTGTTGTGGCCGAAACGTCGTGAGAATATTATTGTGTTATTTTATTTTATCAATTTATTATTTTATTCTCATTCTACGTGACTTTACCGAAAGAACCAAAGAAGATTCCAAACTCTCCACCATGGCCAAAACCAAAGAGCTCTCCAAGGATGTCAGAGACAAGATTGTAGACCTACACAAGGCTGGAATGGGCTACAAGACCATTGCCAAGCAGCTTGGTGGGTAGGTGATAACAGTTGGTGCGATTATTCGCAAATGGAAGACCTTGCGGGCGCTGCAAGATTTCAGTCCTTCACGGCGTAGTGTGTTATCAATTGTTTTCTTGGTGACTATGGTTCCAGCTGCCTTGAGATCATTGACAAAATCCTCCCGTGTAGTTCTGGGCTGATTCCTCGCCGTTCTCATGATCATTGCAACTCCACGAGGTGTGATCTTGCATGGAGCCCCAGGCCGAGGGAGATTGACTCTTTTGTGTTTCTTCCATTTGCGAATAATCGCACCAACTGTTGTCACCTTCTCACCATGCTGCTTGCCAATGGCCTTGTAGCCCATGCCAGCCTTGTGTAGGTCTACAATCTTGTCCCTGACATCCTTGGAGAGCTCTTTGGTTTTGGCCATGGTGGAGAGTTTGGAATCTGATTGATTTATTGCTTCTGTGAGCAGGTGTCTTTTATACAGGTAACAAGCTGAGATTAGGAGCACTCCCTTTAAGAGTGTGCTCCTAATCTCAGCTCGTTACCTGTATAAAAGACACCTGGGAGCCAGAAATCTTTCTGATTGAGAGGGGGTCAAATACTTATTTCCCTCATTAAAATGCTAATCAATTTATAACATTTTTGACATGCGTTTTTCTGGATTTTGTTGGTGTTATTCTGTCTCTCACTGTTCAAATAAACCTACCATTAAAATTATAGACTGATCATTTTTTTCGTCAGTGGGCAAACGTACAAAATCAGCAGGGAATCAAATAATTTTTTCCCTCACTGTACGAAGGCTGGGATACACACAGACACACATATGTAAGACACACGCACACAGGACACACACATAGGTAACACGGGCATGCCCACCCCACCCAGCGCGCCCCACGGAGAGAGCGAGCGAGAGAGAGAAAACCCTTTAAGGATCGGTGCTCGCATTTGCATTCTGTGCGAGGTGCCACTGCGCAAGCTCCAGCCTGCTTCCCCTTCCTCCTCCTTCACCCCTCCTCCCCCAATTCCTCAATCAACAGCATCCCTCCCTCCTGCTCCCCCGTCCCTCGCCATCCACACTGCAACCTCCTCCACCATCCCCGCCGATAAAATCACCACCATCGCCACCTCTCTCGAATACAACCACCACCATCACAACCACCACCACCACCACAACCACCACGACCACCACCACAACCACAACCACCACCATCACAACCACCACCACCACAACCACCACCACAACCACCACAACCACAACCACCACCACCACAACCACCACCACGACTACAACCACCACCACCACAACCACCACCACAACCACAACCACCACCACAACCACCACCACTACCACAACCACCACCACCATCATCCTTTCCCTCCCTCCCTACCGCAGGATCGAGAGGGATGGCGACGGCACGGGGACACTATCCTCCAGCAGTGGATGACGGCTCGGCGTTCATCATCATCGTCGCCGTTGCATTCTTCTCTGTTGGTTATGATCGACGATTTCCCTTCAAGACGCGCGCACGCTTTGGCACGTGCCGGGAGTCAGTAGGGGGGGGGGGGTACGGCCCAAATTTAACTTCTTTCGCACCGTACGTAGCCAACCGTGCCAATCGGAGGTCGACATCTCTTCTACCATCTTAGTGGGGCGATAGAAGAGGCGTGGACAAGAGAGGGGAGAGAGGCGGCGAGACGAGGTGAGATAATGAGACGTGGATGAGGCACGCAGAGAGAGAGAGACAGGAGCTCGTGAGATGACAGAGACGTGGGGGCGAGGTGGGGGAAACAAAGGGACAGACGATGATGGAGATTGATGAATTAAAACCGCTTCGCGTTTTGCTCCCCCCCCCACCGCACCTCCGATTAGCGCGCTTGGCGAACACACGGCGCGAACGAAGTTCAACGCACGCGGAGCGCATTTCGTGGCTAATTCGTCCGCGTTCATTGGGATTCTGAATGCGATCGTTCGATGCGAGGATTCCAAGTGACCCCATACCCTTCCCGCCACCCTCCCTTATTTTCCCATGAATCCGTTGGGGGGGGGGGAGGGACCTTGAGCTACCTGGGGCCCCTGCGCCTGCGCTCGGTGTGGCACCACCCCCCACCCCCGCGTGGCCGCGCGCTCCTCTCGCTGTTTAACGTTCGAGGAGGCACAAGCGCCGTGCACTGCAACGCGGGGGGGGGGGGGGGGGGGGGGACGACGCCCTGGGCCTCCCAGGGCGTCGTGGAACAGTCGCCGCTGGGGGAGGAATAAGGTCGGCCGGGAGTGGTGCTGGCCACCCACCCCCTCCTGTGCGGTGCCGGCCTTCAGAGGTG